TCCATACACGTACCACATTGTCAATAGATGTTGTCAATAAAACATTAGCTGTAAATTCATCTCTTTGTTGTGATTGTATATCCTTAAATCTCCATGAGATGGAAGTAACTGAACGAGGATGAGGTAAATAAATGTAGGAAAAACTTTCTTCTTCATCATCCTCAATAGTTTGTGAAGTAGATTTTGGATCTACAATAGTAATTACTGGAGTAAATAATGATACTCTGACTTGAGGTTTGTTTCTATACCAAACCTTTACAAGACGATCAAACTTGGACACTGTTGCAAAATATTTTTCATCTGGTGAATATGCAACTAAGTAAATTGGAGTTGGATTGTCATATTTCCAAACCATATTCCATTTCTAAACTATATTATAAATTTCTAAACATAAAGAAACATACATAAACTTGATTTCCTAGAATAGGTTTTCCTTCAAAAATCATTGTAGTTTTTCCACCAACAATTAGTCTATCACCATAAAAATTCCAATCCATGCATTCGAATTCATCTGTTGAGTTAATAACCTGTTCAACAATCCAAGAAGGGCTCTTTTTCAAGGCACCATTGTCAACCTCATCTTCAACTGGAGAATAAATAACAATTTTTCCTCTTGAGCAAGCAGCAATTCTTCCATGAAGATTACTCCATTTTACGCTGGTAATAGTTTCATCATGACCATCCAATAATTGAACAAAACTATTTCCACAATAAACCATAACATGTCTTCCGCTTGCAAAAGCAATCACTTCATCACCCATAAATGTTGACCATGTAAAAGCTTGAGGATAGGGATTAATAGAACCAGGACAAACCTGCCAAGCATTAATCCCTTTTGATCTGTTGATACTTGGTGTTGTCTGTTGTTCCGTTGCATTGGATCCTAATATATTTAAACCGTTTGAGAAGATATTTCCTCCAAACGATGATGAAGAACCAGCAGGTGTAGAGGGAGTACTTTTTGGTGTATTAACCAAAGGAGTAGTGGTTCCGCTCGAAACACCGTTAAACATTTTTTTTAAATAGATTTTTTAATACGTAAATCTAAAATAGGTTTAATTTAATACACTGCAATATTTTTCAGCCTCTTTTCTTATTAAACGACAAGTTGCTGTAATGGTTGCCGTACAACCAACTTGAACCATTTTGAAAAAAATGAATAAATACAACAATGCGTTTGTTCATACCAAATTCAACTCAAAACAAATATCATAATACATCAACAACACTAACAATGAACAACCATGAAACTGTACTCTGTGAAGGAACTTTAGACATGTTTGATGCTCCATCTTTTACTAGCATCAATATTAGTAGTAATTCTTCATCTTCTCCGTCATCTAATTCTCCATCACTTGTTTTTCATCTTTCAACATCATCCGACTTTCAAACATCTGAACAAACCAAACAAAGTTCAAGTGGAAAAAGATCTAAATCAAAGGCAAAGAAGAGGAAAGTTATTTTGGATGAGGATGATGAACGTGATTATGAGGAGTGTGATTTTATTTTGGAAAAGGGAGTTTATTCATATGCACCAAAGTATCAATGTTGGACAGATATTTCAAGTGAGGTAAAACAGGTTTATAGAGTGGTTTGGGATATGTTTGCCAAGTGTGCCCGTTCTATCATTAATGATCATTTGGAAATGAGAAACACTAGTAGAGTCCACCATCTTACTCTTGGTTCATGTCTACCAACAGTCTTTTACTTGATATTGAAGGAAACAAATGGTGTATTCAATCAATGGTTCCAAGTTGTTAAGAAGCATGGTATTAAAGTTAAGGAAGAATGTATCCAATTTCGATTCAAGAATTGTCTTCCATGTTTGGATAAGTATGATGATTGGGGCAACTTTCAGGTTAAGCTTATCAACAACACGTGCAAATTTGGCCAAAAAGTTTTGTTACATAGGATGAAAATTAACTACATCTCCCTTACCTGCAATGTAAGATCCAATCAAGTCTACTCATCATTCAAATTCGAGAAAGACATGGAAATTGTTGTTCAATAAATATAGCCGTTTCAATTTAAATTCAAAAAAATGAATCAACAATTCAACCATCAAGTAATCATCAACCAACCTCAATCCTACAGATCACCCTTACTCTACAGCCCATTCCTTTATCAACCAGCAACATCCCCAATATCAAGCCTTCAACACAACACCACATCTCAAATACCAATCCACATAACCTCTCCAAACTATGTGGTGTCTCCGAGTCCAACACCTATCCTTCAACACATTATTCCTACCTCAAATCATGTAAGATACTTTCAACAACGAGTTAACATTGGTCAACATGAAACAACAACAACTCCAACATCAAACTTCCAACAACGAGTCAACATTCAACATGTGACAACTCCTTTCAATAACACATCTCCAATTTCAAATACCCAAAGACTCAATTTGACTCAAGATTCAAATGTTGATGTATTAAGCACCCAGTCGTCTTTTTTACCATCTTCTTTTTTAGAAAATTCTGAACCAACACCTCAGGAATCTAATAAACGAGCTGCTTCTTCTGAATTAGGTTCACCAAAAAAAAAGGCACCAAAGAAGGCCTTGGAGAATATTGATTATTCTTTGGAATATGGAGAAATGGACTTCTCACAATTTGTAGAAAAAGACCACCCTTCAACCTTTATTAAGAATAATGGAAATGTTTATTCTGTCATGAACATGAAACAACTTTCGTTAACTGTAGATCCAGCATACACATTACTGGCAGCTCAATCGTACATGTCAAACTTCCCCAACAGTAAATTTATTACAACCTCGAGGCAGAGTGCAAATAGTAGTGAAGTACTTGATGTCAGAACAAATGATTCATGCTACAATGACAGAACAAGAAAAAGGCTTGGCAGAATATTGGCAGGAGTTGAGTTAATGTTGTACAATATTGGAGTAAAAAATTTCTCCCATCTCATTGAACTAACATCCTCATACTTTGAAAACTACTTTTGTGATATAGTTTATAAACTTCCAGTAGCTA